CTGAGAAAAAGAAATTTAAATTTTACGAAATAAGTGTTTCTTGTCAACATTTCCTTCGATATTTTCGGTTAGAAAAAAAATTTGACCACGATGACGGAATATATATTTTTGTGAAATATATCTGAGTTTTCTTATTAATTGGCTTACTTACTAGGAATAAAAGTTTATTTCGCCGCGTTTAAGTAAACGCGGCGAAATTTCTGTGAAATATATTTCTTATATTTCACAAATAAATGTTCAATTCTTTTTCCTCAGTGTACGCGAGCAATTGGGATAAAACCGTACCGACGAGATCGCGACACCCTTTGTGCACGCGATCCGAAGGATAAAACCACGAAATCTACCCGGCTATCGGGCGATCTCTGAATTTGCTAGGGGCGCTCCAGATGTCACGACTGGGCCGATCATCGAAATCTCCCGCGATAAACGGAGAACGGCCCGCGGTGTCGGTCCATTATGAACACCCACAATGTGAGAGCTAACCGCAGAGCTAACGGGGCACAACACGAGCACCACGCGCGCGCATTATGACGGAAACAAAAAGAACACGTGCGTGAGGCGTGCTCGAAAGTGTCGGGCGTGCGTTGCGCGCGTACACGCGCGCGCATACACACATACACGCACGCACACGACGATGATGACGTGCCGATGTTACGTTGCTATTACTTAGCATCACCCCACCGGTCGGCCGAGATGCTGACCGTTCGACTGCGGGACCGCGTAGGTCACGAGAAGGCTCTGGATGATACCTCCGGGATCCGCGAAAACAGCCGGACGTACCGCCGAGCGTGAGAACATTTTTTCGGAGAGAACTCGTCGCGTTCATCAGTCCACTAAATTTTTATTAAGTTCACAGTGAATGTATAACAAATTCAAGCGAAAAACGCAGCGCCGCTGAAAAGGAGGACGCACGCTTGTGAAAAATGTTTGCAATTTCTTTTTATTACGTGCATGAAATGAGCAAGAAAACACTCATATCCCAGAATAATTAGTTCCCCACGTTGCTCTGAGTAAAAGAAATTTACGTGGACAATGGCGACAAGGATACGAAGCAAATTATATCGTCGTTCTTAACATTCACGACATTCATTATTCTCATAAAAAAACAATAAGGAGTCGAGGATTAAGGACAGTTCTTGCAACGAGAGGGGGTGCGGACATCCTCCCCCCGAACAACACAGTTTTCGAGAACGAGAGACAAAGAGAGAGAGAGAGAGAGAGAGAGAGAAGGAGAGAACCCGGGATGATAAACGAGCCGATACGTTCCCACGCGCTTTTGCAGACGCGAGCGAGGGAGTCTGAGGCCTGTCTTCCCCTCCTACACCCCGTACGTAGTGGGCGGTTGTGAGGCCTCGGGGGCCCAACTGGGCCCCTAATCACAGACTCGCCCGCACTCGTACGCAGAACATACGCGTCCCTCTTAAACGCACACGCCGGCTAAGGCCGAGTTATGCGAACGTTCTTAAATGCACGTTGTGAACTCTCTCTCTCTCTCTCTCTCTATCCCTCCCTCTCTTCCTCTCTCCGCCTTATTTCACAAGTAAACCTGCATAAGGTGTGTCAAAAGTCCTATACTTTTCGAATTACCTCCGATTGCATCGGATCAACACTTTCGAGAGCTCTTTGATATTAGATTTGAGAAAAAAAAGAAACAGACAACGGATTTAACGGATTAAACGAGACAGGTGGATATTTAAATCGGATTCCCGTTCGCATGTGAAAGTCGTTTTATGCACGAACGCATCCGAGCTAGATCTATCGACAATAAGGTTTATCGGCGATTAAGCGCGATTAATTACAACTCTCCGGCGGTGTTTGCGTGCCGGTCGATCGTTGCCGCTACCGCTACTGGCTTGTCGCGATTCTTTTGTCGCCAAATCGACCGGCGTGTTATTGTTAATTAATGTCCCGTTCGCTCTTTACATTTTCACGATACCACACCCGCGGCATCTTCCTGGAAATTACGAAGCAGATCTCTCGCGGATTACCTTTGCCGTGCAAGATCAACGCACTCCAACACATCGTGCGCGAGATATAAGTAGAACCATAAGTAGAGACTTCACACAGGCCGAGGGCCGGAACTCTCATTGAAAGAAATGGAAGATCTTAATAAGCATACATCGATAGATAATGAATACTTCCAAAAATTTTGATATTTTTAATTTGCATTTTTAATTAAAAATAATTACTTTTACGCGCTGTTTCAGTAGTCTCGTCTTCAGATGCTTTATTTGCAAACTAATATTCGTAAATATAGAGTTATTATATATGAATAAAAAAATATTCTACTTTCATCAGTTTCTGAAATTAATAATATTGCTTCGAACTTTTACAATTCCACGATAAAAATGTATTTGATTTTAATTCATGCAAAGAACCGAACCAGGAAAGGAAAGAGGAAAACGGGCGAAATGAAAGAAGAAAAGAGGGCGAAATGAAAACGGAAAAAGTGGCGAACGCTAGTTGTGTAAAATTTTGGAGTGCAGGCTGTTGAAATGAGTGGAGCATTATTAAAACCCGTTTCACTCAGCTGCGGTATAGAGAAATCTATAGCTTGATCGGGCCGTCAGTGGCGTCACGAAAATGCGCGATAATCGTGACGATGGTAACAACCGTGGTGGTTTGCGGTATCGTTATTGTGTCATTGTTGCCCGACACTCTAAAATGGAAATGGCCGTGCTGTTAAATGGTGCCATCGTCTCCTATAATCCCTAGCAATTCGCTATAAATTCTATGCACACGCGACACCATTTTAACCGATCCGTAAATACGAGACTTCTCCTAAACGTCCGACTTCCTATAGCCTCCGTCGAATGTTTTTCAATCAACTGCTTCCGGCAGCTTCGAGATATTTCAAATACCAAAACTTTGTCCGCGGCAAATAATTGGCCTTAAACATAGAGTTGTTGTTTTCTGTCATTACCACTCGGCGACTGTTAACCGGTAAGTTGAACCGTATGATTCCAAGCGGTTATCATATTCTCTCGTCGTGATATTAAGAAAACACTTTCCTCTTTTGTTATCGTTCCTCATCATCGGCGATAATACTCAGATCGAGTTAGAGGACTTAATTTTCTATTTTCCATGAATATTCTATTTTTTTAATACCTCCCTCTCCCCCTGGTCAGGCCATCGGCGTACCAGAGATGCGCGATTTTCTGTCGTCACAGCAGCGGAATGGATAATATAATACCGACGATAGAATCTACCGTAGAATAAGAGGATTCTCAGGACTTCCTTGTTCGATATCTCGTTTAAACGAACGGATACCCAACACTACGTGGCACTTGATTCAGGAAAACAACAGCCTGCTTTGAGTACCGAGTACCACCTAGGCGAGAATATCGGAGCTATCACGAGTCCAAGATCGATCTTGAAGAGTGGTAGGATCGTTTGCCGAGGATGTCTCGCGTGACCAAGTGCCAGCCTGCCGAAGAAAGTCGCGAAGCTGCTCGAGGAGGCAATCAGCTGATCGATCTTCGGCGCGTGATCGATAGTTGCGACGTGATCAACATGTGGATCGACGTACGAGCGCACTTTAAACGAGGATTAAGTAAATTATCAAGCGGGACAATCTTTTATCACTAAAAAAGGAGGAAAATAAGGAAGTAAAAGGAAGAAAGAGAAAGGAAAGGAAGTACGTGTGTAAAGGAATGTTGCTTTTAGTGAAGAAATATTTAAAGAAACAATCGATCTGCTGAATGCTGTGCAATTAATCATCGGAAAGCGATCGATCATGCCAGTCTAGCCGTACAATAATTAAATAAACGTGAGAAGATTTTTGTGCATGAATATATAGAAAAAGACTTCCAAAGAGAGAGAACGAGATTTTAATGATGAGTGCGAAAACATGAAAAAATAATTAATTTGTTTGATTTTTCGACCGCAGTCGATATTTTTAACATCATCGGTGTTTCTTACGCAATAATTCTGAAATTCGCAAAGAAAAGGAAAATAAATAATTCCAAAGAAGTTTTGAAAAATTATTGAATTATTTAGGAAGAAAATATGTGAACGAAGCAATAATCAATACGTTGTCTGAATGAGAATTACACGATCGATTTGCTTGAATTCGGCTGTGTAATCGACGCTAAGCTAAACGGTTATAAAGAGATTATTAGCTTATTGGACATACACTTGCAGTAATTTATACAAAAAGAAAGTTTATGTGCGTAAACTAATCCTGTCGACTGGTTGTGAGCTAATCGGTTTGTTCGTTTCTGCTCGCATAATCGATACTAGCTCAGTGCGTCGATATCACGCATGTTCAACGAGGATTAAATGAATTACTGTGGAATGAAGTACTGAATGTGTGGACGCAATAATTTATGTAACAGCAATTTCGCCTAAACTATCGTATTGTAGGACCGTTCCGAACGAAAATTATAATTAACGAAGAAGATTTAAATCGATCGTAAGCGAGAAGGCAGTGTATCATCAGTCTGGAAAAGAAGACGATCCACCATCAATAATTCCCAGAAATAACCAAAGTTTGATTCTCCATACCTTTTCAATTTAATGTTTCCGTAGAACAACATTTCTTCACGAGGATAGAATAAATATATCGTCGAAAAGATTGGTTTGCAACAGACGTATTTGCATACGTTGCGGTAACATTTTGCAGACTACTGTGAAAAACTATAGTGCAAGATTCCACTATACTTTGCGAAGAACGTGATAGCTAACGACTCACCAAGGATACCTTATCCTGTTATCAGACATCGTAATAAATTTATAAATCTCATCTTACATGGAAAGAAAGACATCAGCAAGATAAGGCGATCATAATTAAAGCGGCAGAACAAATGAATTATCATCCGCGGTAATCACAAGAGGACGGAGGCCGAAAGATCCCGAGGAAACCTTCTCACGGGGCTAATATGTGCCTGGGACGAGTCGGAAGTCGTCGGGGTAGCGACATTTCCGGCGGCAGGAGCGACAAGAAAAACTCTCTCATCATTATCCGAGATTCTTCTAACCGATCCGAGGAAGGCGCGGAGATGGGTATGCTGTTGCCGGACGAAACCTACGAGGCGAAATCCACCGGTGTCCTGATCGCGGACGTGGACGAAATCGAGGCTGCCAAAGCGTTAGCGGCGCTCCGCAGGTGCGACGAGTTCCTCACGAGACACGGCATCCGACCCGAGTTCTTCTGCAGGCATCGAGAGCGTCTGGCTCTTCAGGCGTGGCTGCTGAAGAAGTCCAATTTCTACTCTGGTGAGTGTTCAAACTGTTTTTTCTCGCATGGAAATTAAGCTTCTTTACGTAGCAAGTAATCGTTTGATATTCCGTCTGTGTTCGAACGTTTCCTCGTGGGGCTTTTCGACAAGCTATATATAAAGGGTTATTAAGAGCGTAACGTGTTCCACCGAGATCAGCGATGATTGCAGTATCTTGGGAAGTTGCAAAACGGAGCCGCTGGCGCCTCACTTTCGCAGATTGTTTCGTCTGTTTCGTTTGTTTACACGCGCGGGATAACTCTCGCCACCGTCGCTGCCGCCGCCGCCGTCACCTCTCTTTCTCCCGGGGCGCAACTTTCCTCATGCAAGTTGCTCCATTTCTCTTCTACAAATCGTATTGCGGAGTGTCTCGGGCATTACGTATACATACAGGGATACGAGCTGCCGGGTCGCGCGCTTGCTGCCATTCTTTGCACTCGCGCTCCGATAAAGGATGCAGCCCGCGAGCGTCGCGACCGATCCGAAGGATGAAGGAGGATATACAGTGGCCTCCAAAAGTACTCGCCGTCTTTCCAATCAGCTGCCAACCACTGAATATTATCAGCATACTGACAGGGAAACTTAATTTTTTACACGTAGAAAGACGATCTGTAGAAATATATACGAGATCGTTTTTTTCTGACGTAAATCAATATTTACTCCTGACCGCAAAAATTATTGATTAATGTCCAGCAATTAATTAGTAACATAGTCTTATAAAAATTAAGATACAATAATAAAACAATGAAAAAAAATGTAATCATAACATTAAAAAATAATGTTATGATTACACAGTCTTTTTGATTTTTTAATTGTATATCATCGGAGTCATAATTTCTGATATATAATGATAAATCGAGAGATATTTAAAGAGAGGCGAGTGTAGGAGAGTCTTTAGTTAGATTTCTTAATATCAAGATGAACGGATGAATATCGACCGTCTGCTGAAAATATTTACGACTATGCTTCTCTACAATTCGGTAAATCACTAGTGTTAACTGGAAACGCGGAGAGAACCTGTTTCTAGAAAGACACACTAAAATTGCATGGCACTGTAGGCGTGAGAGGAGGCCGTACCGGACGTTAGTATCTACCTCAGCTATCATCGAGGGTAGACAGCCGCGAGAGTCCACGGATCGAGCTAGGGTGATCTAGGAATGATCGCTGAATAAGTTCTTTTCAGACGATTGAAATACATTCTGAATGCACGACATATGCGCGAGTCAGTCGGCACGTATGCAGATGCAACGAGATATGCGCTTAGTTCTGCGCTCAGAGCTGGCAGATACCTCGCGATCGTAATAAATCAGCGCGCAACCTAATTAACCGACGGATCCGGACTATAATAGGGTTCATTATCACCGAGTCACTGCTAATTATGTGAATGTGCCACCAGGCCTGTCTTCGCGCCAACAGTTGGCCCGATCCAAATTTGTCTGATCCCATATCAGCTGGTTGTACTTTAACTAAACGGCCGGACGGAAAAAATAAAACTGAGAATTCCGGAAGCGTCTAGAGGACAGAAAAATCACCTCGACATCTTTTCTTGCTTCTTTCTATTACAATAAATTTCCTCTTTTATTTATATTAATTTTTATATTAATTAACAATAATTTTTCTTATAATATTTTTCTTATAATATTAATTTTTATATTAATTAACCATAATTTTTCTTTATATTCTGAATATGAATATTTGAAGATTTATTACGCGGTAAGTAATTAAATGAACTATTATCCGGAATATGATACTTTCAATTTTTCAATCTCATTATTAAAAATTTTGAGCCATTCGTCGAACCAGGTCTCAATTATACCTTTTTGGTAATGTTCGCGCAAGTACAACTCCTCAAACTTAAAATTTTTGAATGGTAAGAGTTTTGTACTGTTACTAAGAGTTTTGTACTGTTACTATTAACATTTCTTCAGTTATCGCAAAATAGGTTTGGTATTTCTTATCTTCCCTCGCAATTTTTTAGCTCTGACGAGCGAGCGGTGATAGTCAACAGCTAAGTTCAGTCATTAAGTTTTACGAAGAGAAGGATAAAGGAGTTTTACGCACCGTTTTAATTACGGTGAGGAGTTCTTCGTTTCCGGTGGCGGTTTACGACCTTCCGCTATCGCAAGAAGAAAACGAAAACAGGCCAATACGTGGATAATAACGTCGCGATTATTTCGACACGTGCAACGGCCACAGACTACGGATTATTATCAAGTTACTAACAAAATAAGAAATTTTTTATTTATTTAATTTATGCTGCATAAAAGAGAAGAAAGAGGGTGAGGTTACGAAGAAGTCCTCCAATTTCAACGAAAATTACTTATTTTTTGGAGGCAATCGAAAATTAATAGAGATAACAAATTAAACATTTTTTTTTCTTTGCTAATCTTTATAAAATATTTTTAGCATGTGGTAAACTCATCAATTTAGAAAGGCGATAAACTGGAAAAACAACTGGGAAAGATAAATATTTACACTTTTGGTGTTCATGTTTGCCAGCACAAATCATTGATATTGTTATTATGAAGCAAGAAAAATTGTAAACACTTTAAGCCTGTATACATATATCCGTTATAATTAATTTGTTCCCGGCCGCTCAAAAATACAGTCAGACATGATGTACAGAATGGATAATAAAATAAATTTATATTTGATTACTCGCTGGTATCTAGATAAAGAATTTATCTAGATATTATCTAGACATTATCTTTAACTCGATAAAGTATCTAGATAAAGCATCGGACTGCATGTGATGCCCGGATATTGAAAATAATAATACATATACGAATTTGCAAGTTAATTCAGCCGGAAGTCTCTTGAGGTAATAGCATTAGTAATATATACCGATTAAATGAAATTTTAAACTCATATTAATTCAACTTTTGGAGATCTAGCGGATTATCTTCTTTGTTTTTTACATGGTTAATCCAGGTACGCGAATGTCTTGCTTTATTTTCACAATCAAAAATCAATTTGCCGGGATGTCGATACGATTTCGACAGAACGCACACAACTGATAAAGAGCATTACAATTTCGGCCTAATTACGCTGGCTTGCCATACAACCTACGGGGAGGTGGGTGGGGGGTGGGGGATGGAAATTTTATCGGAATTTATTAGCCGCGGGGAATCGACTGGGGGCTCGTAATGACCGAGGCATTACTAATGGGGCGAAGAGGAGGAAGGGGGCAAAAAAGGGCGGAGCTGCCTGCCAACGTAACAACGCCGCTGATGCAAAAGCGAACAAAATGCCGTCAGGTGTTGCCCCCATAAATCACTACGTACGTACGTACCACCTTCCTTTCGGTCTTCGTCGCGCCGCTCCGATGCATTCGATAAATAAAACATGCGGCGCGAAAAGGTCCGCAAGGTGTATCGATTGGTACTACCAGATAAACGTTGTATAATACTATATTATTTTTATTTTGAAAAAGATACGTCTCCTCTCGCAAGAGACGCCTCTTCGTTCTGCTTCCTCGCGAAGCTGGTGCCGTTTCCCCGGTGTCGCTTTCCTGAGCTTTCCATTCTCAGCGATACGCAAAGGATACATTTCAGTTTGCCTCGACAATAACGTCACGACGTCGAAAGCTCTCGCTTTATACAGAAAATCTAAAGACAGATTAGCGTAAAACATACCAGTCGCCAGCGTCACGCAAATGTTGTATCAATGTCGCGTATAATTTTGAAGGCTTGGAAAAAGCGCGATTTCTTTACAATTTTATCGCGGATTTTTTCGGTTTTTTATCTTTTTTTACGGGAAAGTACTTTTTTAATTACGACGACGAATTCTTTGTTCTCAGTAGCGGTTTAAGATCTTCATAAAAGAATTTACAATGTAACAGGTTTTAACAGAATAGTCATGAATTTTTCTAAACGAATATTTATTTTTTTCACCGATAGAAAATTATAGTTAGTTTCTAGTTAGATAGAAAATTATAAATAGACATTAAACATTTTATAATAGTAATAGCATACATCTAAAGTTATTACTGGCATTATAGTAACATTTACTAAAAAAATAATTCTCCTAACTATTTTTGTGATTATGTTTAGCGCTGAAACTAACTATAATTTTCTATCAATGTTGAGACAGGAACCGAAGAAATCCGTGGAAAAATGGGAAAAAACTTTCTTTTGTTTGCGAGTCTTCAAAATTATATTGTCGCATATTGTCTGGTTGGAAAAGATGCTTTTCCCCCGGAACGAGAGTTTACACGGAAGTATTTCCGTTTCCGCGGATCTCTACCGCAGAATCTCCTGTCTTCGGTCACTGCTTAGGGCGTAAGTACGTTCTAATCACCCGCGGCGATCGCGTGAGACGAGAGAGAGAGAGAGAGAGAGAGAGTACCGAGAGACTTTGGCACCGCATTAATTACTGGCCGCTAACAATGGCGCAATAATTAACAATTACGCGGTTTGATAATTATATACCGCCGGGCTGAGTTATCGCGCGGCTGTCTGTGTGCGCGGGTATGCGTGATTTCGCGGCATCTGTCATCGTAGATAGCATGAAAGATGACAAGTGAATCCTCGAATTCGAGAAGCGGGTACTAGCATAGCGTCTTACGGCTAGTTCCGGTTATATATCATCGACGCAGATTCCAAGAGAAAATAATTACGGAATGGGAATGCGATCAAAATAAATCCTGAAACGTGAAGTACATACATAATGTATATAGCATGGATATGTATTTTAAAAAATGTAACAAGGAGATGTTACATGGGCAGGAGAATTCGAGAGGAAAACATTAGAGTGGAATTAAAACGGTATCGTGTGCGTCAGGTTTTCGTTCGAGGTTTAAAGCCGCTAAAATGCATGGATCTATCGATCACAGGTGGCAGGTATTCAGCTCTTCCGAGTCTGGTATCTTAAGTCCGCCAATTTAACTTCGTCTATGAAACCGGCGTGCCTTCTTTTTGCCGGGAGGATAGCGGGCTTGCAAAAACCACGTCGGGCCCTGATGCAAATTTATGTTAACAGCGTCGGCGAATGTCTCTC